CACTGGGGCAGCTCTGGGTCTGCTCTAAACAAGATAATACAGGACAAACTATTTATCTGTCCTGTATTATCCTGTGTAGAGCAGACCCAGAGCAGCCCCAGTGTAGCTAAAACGAACAAGCCCACAGAATGTTGTTTTTGAACGCAGCCTTTGGATGGAGAATTTACACTGCAACCGATGTCCGACGTACGACATTCGATATCCAATAATAGAGCTTGTTTTCTAGAGTCTAGACGATAAAATATCTCTAGTTAGAATTTCTAGAAAACGAGCTTTATTATTGGATATCGGTAAGGCACTAGATATGTAGGTATTCTTATCCGCCATTTTGGTTCCTACTTGTTGGAGAATTATAGCGTATATAGTATAGCTTAGTATAATATGGCGTACGCCATACTGCTATACTAAGCTATACTAAGCTATACTATATACGCTATAATTCCCCATCTAGTAGGAACCAAAATGGCGGATAAGAATACCTACATATCTAGTGCCTTATATCGGATGTCGTACGTCGGACATCAAACGCAGTGTGAATCCTCTATTAGGCGTAAGGATAGGGAACTGCTCGTATAGACTGCTTGTCAATACTTACTATGTTTATGGCTGTCACGTGATCTATTCTAGATTTCAATCAAAGTATCTAAAGCCAGATGTCGTTGATGCTAGCCTTTATTTTTACAATAGGGTGTTTATAGCTTTTGGTGTAAATGTAAAAAAGCATCTTATAAAAGATTGAAACAATGCTATAATATTTTGTTGTATACGTAAGTCTACGTGATTTCTTTTGAGCTTTCGAGCTGCAAGAATGAGTAAAAATTCAATAGTCGATTGATGATTTACAGATAAATATGTCGACAATGGAGGGCTCGCTCAGCAAGTGGACAAATGTCGTTAACGGATGGCAATATCGATGGTTTGTTTTGGATGACAATGCTGGACTCCTGTCATACTATACGGTAAAGATACCTTGCGAGAATTTAGTTATAGTTTAATCTGCTAATTGGGAAAGATGAGTTAATTACAAATTAATTTCTTTGCAAATATCTTTACAATAGGACAAATTGTCGCAAAAATTTAAAAATTATATTTATATATTATTTTGTTGTTTGTATTAAAAATAAATTAATAGTTTTTGTGTTTTCTGTAAATAAGACAAGTTAATTTGTCTAGTCAATTATATGTATAGGAGGAGGATTTATAGTGTTTTTCGTCAAGAAATGGCATAGTTAAGATTTATATAAGTACTTTTTTTCTGTGATATTGCATTGTGATTTGATACATTTATTACCTCGCTATCCAAGTAATTTTTAGACTTTCTTTTCTATTTAGAGCAAAGAAAAAATGATGCGTGGGGCTCGGCGTGGTTGTGTACGATTAAGAGGTGCTATTATTGGTATTGATGATGAAGACGACAGTACGTTTACTATCACAACAACTTCTTGCAAAGATAATGATCCGAAAACATTTCATTTTCAAACACGTGATGGTGAGGAAAGAGAACGGTGGGTTCGCGCTTTAGAAGATACAATACTCCGACATTCTCACACGGTATGAATAAATATACAGAATCTAAATATACTAATCACCAGAAAAATCATGTTTTGTAAACCAATTATTAGCTAATCATTATTAGTTATTAGTTATCTTTTATTTTGGCAAATGCATATTTTGTTAAATTAATTATTGTATGTTAATTATTTATTTATTCTACTTTTCTGTGTAATAAATATAAATTTAATTTTTCTAAAATAGTATTGGTATGAAATAAGACTAAGTATTGGACAATATTGAAAATAGTTGTTCAACAATGTACGAAAATTTATACAATGTATTTTTAAGATATATATAAAATTGATACATAAAATAATTTTGTGAAGCATAGTATAAAATATAGAAAATTTGATTGTTATAGAGATGGGATCCTAAAAAATCTCCACCTAAACAAGATTTTGATCGGAAGGTAGCTGAAGCCGATGTTTACCTGCAGCTTCTTATTGATCAGATTAAATTGATTGAAGATAAAATAGATGGGATTGAAGATAAAGAACAGCAAAAAAAGTACTCTACTGTTTTGTCACAGGCTAATACTATGCTTAATTCTGTTAAACACACCATTGTCCAATTGCAAATTGCAAAGGTATTTATTTCATTTTATTGTATATATACATATATATTGCTGTGTGTATATAACAAATATATGTATGTATATATATATACATACATACATTCACATATATATTTACTCCACTTTATTATTGCAAGATATATGTAGCTAATACTTTTAGAACACAGCAATACCAGTTAATGGAATATATAGAGGACCATCAAATTCCATACATGTCTCACCTCCACTCACTCATGGTAAGGATTCTCATATTTTTAATTCTCTTATATATAAGGGCAAGTGTAAAAAATTACATTCTCAATATTTAAATTTATTGTAATAATAATAATATAATTTATTATATTAATAAGACTAACCTTTATTATATCAATAAGATTAATAAAATTTAATTTTAGTTGCAGATAGAGCACCAGAAGCAACAGTGCAAACCGGCATTGAATTAGGCTCTGAATGTGTGGAACCAAGAGTGCCAACATTATCAAATGGTGAATATCGCGTATAGTATTTATTCTAGTATAAATTAAACACATTATTTTAATTCTGTTCGCTGCGTTGAAGTATACTTTGCATCTTTAGTTGTAGATAGAGATCTACCAGTACCACAATTCTCATATTCATCGTCCGACGAAGATGACGATTATTTTGACGCTGCAGATGAAATACCAACTCCAATAGTCCAGAATCACATTGCGCTGCAAGTATAATAAGTTGATATATACATAAAAATAGAATATTTTTTTTACCAGTGTAGAACATAGAGATCTTGTTACAGTATATTCGTTACACATTAAAGAAAAGTTTAAATTCAAAAAAATATTTTTTTATGCTATATAACTTTCTTTTAATAAATAATATTAAATTATCCAGCTTATTAATTTTGTCATTTATTTGCTTCAGCATTATCACTATTCAATTTGACTCTATGAAATGTATTATTTATTGAATTAAACATGTCTGTTGAATGAAACTATGCTGCCATAAATTACATGCATTTATTAATATTGTTGACGCACACTTGACTTAAAAATACATGAGTATTAAAGAAATTATATCAACTAAGCATGTAAATTATGTTCACAACTTTTTTCCTCAGTGCGATACATTTTTTCTTTTAGAGCTAAATTTGTGATAAAATTAACATAATTTTTGATAAAAGTAACATGTAAATGTTTTGTTTTAGAGGTTCAGATAATGAGCGATTACATTTATCTGTGGAAAATGCCACAGGAGATAAACGTAGACAACCGCTTTTGCCACCCATTAAAGGCGATGGATCAGTAGATTACGATGGTGAGTGAATATTTCCACTTTGATATACGCTTTATTACGTGCTTCTTTTATAGTTTTACTCTTTTTCACTTGCTATCTATTATAATTGAATAAAATATCAATTTTATGCAATATTGAATTTAGCATCATTATTGGCTTATTAATTATGATATTTGCAATAGAAAAGCTGCTTTCTTCATTTTAGATGTGTTGCATAAACATTTTTATTAATAGATTCTTATAATATAACTTATAAATCACGACAGTTAATTTTAAGACCAATTTTTTGTAAAATTAAAAGTGAAGGCACGTTTTAAAACGATTCTTTTATAATATAAATAGTCCATTGCTACATTTCATTGTGATTTCTCAGACTTCATCAAACTTCATCAAACTTCAAGGATTTGATTAAAATTCTGTAGAACATGTTTGAATATATTACATACACTAATCGTAACTGTATTATGTAGCGATACTATTTGCTATTAGAAAAGAATCGTTCTAAAACACGCCTTATTCATTTTTATTTTTACAAAAAAATTGTTTTAAAATATAGCTGCCGTGATTTATACATAACAATTATAATGTTATATAATATATTAAAATATATTTTCAAAAATCACTATTTAATTCTTAAAAAATTTGGGGCGATCTAAGAGACTCTAGTATGCAGTAAAAATTCAATGTGTAGTTAAGTATAAAATATAATATAATATTATATAAAGTATCTCATTTTTTAAATGTTTATCTCAAATGTGCCAAAAAGAAGATAGTTTTGAAGGAAATTTTTAAGTAAAAATTATTTAGTTTTCAAAAAACAATTGGATGTTATGAGTTTGGTGTGAAGTAAAAGTATCCAGATAATGAATTATTTTAGAATTTTTGAATTTTTGAATTTTGAAGATCTTTATTTTTTACAATTACATGTTTTTAAATATATTCTTTCTGAAATATTTGAGATGAGCATCTCAAATGAGATATCTTGTATAAAAAAAGTACCAAGAACGAACATTTCTATAATTAGGATGTCTAAAAAACATTTGACAAATCTGTTTTCATGGATTGCATATACATACTTCAATAATGCAATAAATATAGAACAAGGATAGAGGCATTGCAGTATATTACGTATGTAAAAATCAATAACGTCTTAACCTTTTGCAGACGCGTGTCGACAACATATTTGTATTTTATTCTGGACACGCGTCAGAAAATTTTCAACATTTGTCACTGGCCGTTCGTTTACGGTAGAGGTCCTCAACTCTTTTGCTAAGAGGGCTATATTAAAATTTTTGTAATAAACCAGGGACTAAAAAGGTTTCATTTTGGAAAATCATATAAATCGTAAAGAAATCTTAAAAGTAAAGCTATTCTGTATATTGTCAAAACCACTTGTACACAAGTGGTTGCACACACACACACACGCGCGCGCGCACACACAGGGTGTCCTAGACTTATCGTAACATCCATTAATGGCAGATTCTTGAGGTCATTTGGAGACGAAAATCTTAATGCCAAAATGTCGAGGTAACTAGTTTTTGAACAGGAAAGGTTTAAAGTTCACCAATCAACGTGTCAAAATTTTTCGTATTCAGGGACATCGTCTATCACTTTATTTTTTTGTACACTGTTGGCAAACCTGATGAATTTTGGGATAATAATAGTTTCTAAATTGTCGTATGGAAACGCAATGAGAACGTCGAACTGTCAAACTGTCATTCGTGTGAAGTGTGCCATTGACAAATAATGTTTCTCTTGTGTTGATAGAAAATCAATACAATCGAAGTGTGATTTGTTGAATGAAATGTCAATAAGACAGATAAAGTCGGTAAGAAAAGAAAATACTAACATGTTTGGAAATATATTTTTATTTATTTATTTGAAGGAACACGAACAAAGTGTTCGCATTGCATAAGAAACGTCATTTGTCAATAGCACGTTTCACACAAATGCTTTGACAATTCGACGTATGTACAATCGTGTTTCCATATGACAATTACTATCATTATCCTGAAGTTCGCCAATCTTGCGAACAGTGTACACACGGTCACAGGAATGCCTTAACATGTGAATTTGTCAACGAGTGTCAAGGCACATTTGAATTGGCTTGTGAAATTCACACTCGTGCAAGTTCATCTGTTAAGGCATTCCTGTGACCGTGTGTACAAAAAAATATAATTTCAAGTATTATTATTTCGATCAAGCTAAGTGTTGTGGAAGGGCCCTTCCGATATGCGATATCTCTGAGCGCGCGAAATTTTGACAAACTAATTGGTGAACTTTAAACTTTTCCTGTTCAAAAACTACAGTAACCTCGACATTTTGGCATTCAGATTTTCGTCTTCAAATGACTTCAAGAATCTGCCATTAACGGATGTTATGATCAGTCTGGGACACTGTGTACACAGGGTGTCTCACCAAAAGTGGCCACCCCCTTTTATCTTTTAAATTAAGAAATGGACCATAACAAATATATATCAAATTAAATGGTTCAAATTGTACTCTATTGTGAGTATAATAGTTGCTTACAAAAGCTATTCGTGTTAACGCGAACGGAGAGGTATGCATAATTTTTTTATAATAATGTCAATATTTTGATGTAAGAAAAGTTGTAGCGCTGTTTGAAAAGAATACAACGATGTATGATTCAATATAAATATTTTACATATACGAGTTTTATCGGCTTGAAATATCGCGGGCGACGTCTACCTTTTCACTTTCGGCCCTGCAACATGGCCAATTTTAGAATAATTAATTAATAATTAACAGCGCTACAACTTCAATTGACATACGTCAATCTCTAACGCACGAGTCAGAAGTTGGCCATATCGCAGGGCCGAAAGTGAAAAGGTAGACGTCGCCCGCGATATTTCAAGCCGATAAAATTCGTATAATATGTAAAATATTTATATTAAATCATACATTGTTGTATTCTTTTCAAACATCGCTACAACTTTTCTTACATCAAAATATCCACATTATTATAAAAAAATTATGTATACCTCTCCGTTCGTTAACACGAATAGATTTTGTAAGCAACTATTTTGCTCACAATAGAGTTCAGTTTGAACCATTTAATTTGATATATATTTGTTATGATTTATCTCTTAATTTAAAAGATAAAAGGGAATGGCCACTTTTGGTGGAACACCCTGTATAGGCACTTGAGTCTAGTTACTCTAGTTGAATATTGAATGGTTAGTTGAGCAGAGGCATAAAGAATAAAAAAATAAAATTTTGCTTCAATTAACGAGAAAAGTTAAACAAAATTTTAATAATTTGTGAGTGCATTGTATTTAGATATTTAAGCGTTTGATGTACGTAAAAAATTAAATATAAAACTAAAATATTAATAATAGCTCAAATATATAAATTAATCAATAAAAAAGTAATTTTAAATTGTTTATAATATATGAATTATCTAGACACGATGCATCTGCTTCAAATTGTTAAAATTCTATGCAACTTTGTGTTACAGCGTGTTTGACTAAACGGATTTTGATCGAAATCCAAGATTAAGTAATGACGTCATTGTATCGTCTCTGCCAATGAAAGACTTAATTTCTCAGTAAAATATTGATTGATCTCGAACGGATCAAAATCAGTGGAAAACGCTGTTACATTATTGGTTTCGTATACAACCTTAAGTTCAATTGTCGATAATACAGATTCTATTTAACGCATCTATTTTATCAACCGCGATTACTATTGATTTCTCGGTAATGGCGAATATCACCTTTGACGTATGAATTAGCATTCTGCGAGTGAACACTTTTTGCGTGGATGTTTCACACGTCTCTTTTAAGACAAGTGTTAAACAAGTGGAAGAAAGAGAAAATATTTCATTAACATGATTACGAACAAGGAAGGAGATTTTTGGCAGAATCTTGCTTTCTGTCGTTCGCCTTTAAGTCAAAGTACTGAGCGAAATATCTCACGTTATTAAGATACAATTCGATCCTGGGAATAAGGAGCTTAGGAATGGATACTAGTTGGTCTATCCTGACGATACAAAATGTTGGACATAACTTCAAGTCGTAAGTTACGTTGTACGAAAAATACATACAGTAAAAAGGTTCAGGTTAAGTTTGTATCCTATGCTTTTTGTGTCACTGAATTTTAAGTCATGAGAGTTGTTTGTTAGTTAAAATATTATTAATATTTAAAATTTCCTCACACAATACATACTTCTCTATAAATATGAGTTTTACAAATATCTGTTTAAAGAAGATTTAAAAATGTATAGTTTGTAAATGATCTTTAATGTTTCTAGAAGAAATAATTTGTTAATCTTTAATTGTAAACTCAAATAATCATTCATTTACCAAGGCTTTGACTAACTGATGTAAGCTATTCTGTCAAAAACAATTTAGCATTGTTCGTTAATCTTATATAGGTGTCTTTGACAACACTTTTAATTATAGAAATCTATTATTGACAATATTGATATTTTATATGTTTAAAAATATATTGGAAGATAAGGATGACAATATAATATTAAATATTTAATATACATCAAAATTATATTTTGTATGTTAATATTGTCAATTTCTATTTTATATCACAATAATTTAGTGATAAATTTTTTCGTATATTTGAAATTTGTCCTTCTAATAAGCAATCATGAAATCTATCATTCGCTAAATCATAATTGGCAAAATGAGTAATTCATGAATAAATGTTTCATGAAAAATTTCATAAAAATTTATCTTAGAGCCTATAAACTCTTGTAAGAATTACATACAGATTAATAAATAATTATAGATTTATAAAATTATTATTATTCATCAAATAATGATTGATTGAATTCCAATCTTAAATAGCTAAAATGTCTGTTGCAGCTCTTTACGAAGAAGAAAGCGAAACAGAAAGTAAGTAATCTCTAAATGAATGTTAAATATATATAAAAAAAGAGTTAAAATATTTTTATAAAATCATTATTAATCCTTTCGTTCTCACTGCAGCTACATATTTAAAATTATGAAATAAAATATTATTACCATCTATATTTCTATGAATATATACTAGTTTTTTTTAGTCTTGTAGATATGATTCTAACATGTATTTTAACATGTATTCACAAATTTTGTGATAAAATATTAGAATATTATTATCTTTTATTTTTTGTCGTCACATAAAGAATTTGAAACACAAGAGTTTGAAAATTATAATTTTCTTGAAATATTTTAAATAGATTTACTAACCAAAAGTAAAAGAAAAGGTTCTTATTATGCATAATAACTTTACAATGCAAATTATTGTACATAGTGGCAAAAAGAATAAAAAATGTGTGAACAAATATTTTTTTGTAGCTGTTAAATAATTTGAGAATGAAAGGGTTAAGAAATAATTATTATAGAAATTCAAATAACTTTTCCATACATAATCACTATATCTTTCGGTATTCTTTTAGCTTTTTAAATTCTTTAAAAATCTTTTGAATTGGAAAATTATCTAATTACGCACCGCAATTTTAAACTTGATAAAAAAACATCTTATCATATCCTTTATATAGATAAGATTATTCAAATTTTCTTTTAAAGGTTTATATGTTGCATAGTAATCAGATGACGCCAGATCTGACTATACATTGTAAAATATAACTTCATAGATTAATCCTCTTTTTTTTTCTTATTTAATTGTTTATAGTGGATTCCATGGAGAGTCATGGCTCGGTTGTGACTCACCTCCTATCCCAAGTGAAAATTGGCATGGATTTGACGAAAGTTACCTTACCAACATTCATTCTAGAGCGCAGGTCACTCCTTGAGATGTATGCAGATTATTTTGCTCATCCGGATCAGTTTGTAAGGTACTTCTGACTATTTAACACTGGTGCGCTTATCGCAATGTTTGAATTTTTGAAAATAATATTTATTTTCTCTTTTAGCATTGCGGATATGCCTACCCCTCGAGAGAGGATGGTACAGATAATCCGTTGGTACTTGTGTAGCTTTCACGCAGGACGGAAATCCAGCGTGGCTAAGAAGCCATACAATCCCATACTAGGTGAAATTTTTCGGTGTCATTGGAACATACCGAACGCTAATTCTTCTGACAATACTACAGATTTCAGCAATAGACTTGTGTCAGATGGTCCGGTACCATGGTGTAAGGAGAATCAACTTACTTTTATAGCTGAACAGGTTTCTCATCATCCGCCAGGTAAGCAAAAATACTTCTCGATTATTTGACATTATTTTTGTACAATTATAACTAGTTTGATTCAACATGCAGTCTATTTGATGTGAGCTACATTCTACAAAATAGCGTGTCTATGTAATATATTGTTTGCTGATTACAGTTAGCGCATTTTACGCTGAACATGTTGGAAAAAAGATCAGTTTTGGAGCTCACGTTTGGACGAAGAGCAAATTCCTGGGTTTAAGTATAGGAGTGCACAATGTAGGAAAGGGTTGGGTAAATGTGCTACAATATGGAGAGGAATACCTTCTGACCTTCCCCAACGGTTATGGCAGATCGATCCTCACCATACCGTGGATAGAGTTAGGAGGCACTGTAACAATAAATTGTATACAAACCGGCTACCATGCGACGGTAGAATTTTTAACGAAACCCTTTTACGGTGGTAAACGCAATCGCATCACGTGTCAGGCATTCCAGGCAGGAGATAAGAAACCCTTTCTTGTTATAAACGGAGAATGGAATGGTGCGATGGAGGCAAAGTGGTCGGATGGTGTAAGTCGGATGTTATAATAACAACACAATAATAGTTAACCTCTTTAGTGTTAATAACGCATATCTTATTTAAAGAAAGGTATTTTCCATTTATTGATTTTTGCAAGATATAATTTTTGCAGTCGCTGAATTCAGAATTTTCAAATTCAATTTAATTGGCAGATTTAATATAGCTGCAAATTTTTAAAATTGTCCTACTTCTAACTTGAAAAACCATTTTATTTTATTGTCAAATTTGATTTCTACGGATTTTTACAGTCTTTAAATTTAAATTTGCTATCAAAATTTTAAAGATAAAGATAAAAAATATTTTTATAAAACAAAATTAAATTTATTGTATTCTATAAATATAATTACGTATTATATGTGAATTAAACATTAACAACAATTTTTGGCTTTAATTGTATTTTAAGTTTTTTATTTTTTATTTCTTAGTTACAAAATTATGCATCTTAATTCTTATAAAAATTTCTAAAACTTTTTTAAGAAAAATATTTATTTAAAATCTACTTATCAAATTTCTGTTACATTGGATTCACACATTGCATATATAAATTTAGCGTCCAAAAAAGTCTCAGAAATATACAAATTTTTACGTAAATTTAATTATTTTTTCATAGAAATTGTTTCTGGTAAGAAAGTTTTTATTTCTCTTACTTTTTCTACTTATTTTATTTCTAAACTTAAAGTGTTAATGCAATTAGCAAAGATTAAACATAATTAAAATAAGAGTCATACATGTCGTATGTAATATAAATTACTGCGTATCTTAATTATATTATATACTTGTCCACAAATGTTAAACGTCATTGAAAGTATTTTGCACGTCATCTTTTTTACAGAAGACTGAAATTTTCGCTGACGTGAGAGAACTCAGCACGGAAAAGAAATTGGTGAAAACGGTGTGTGAGCAAGAAGAGTACGAATCAAGAAAAGTCTGGCGTGACGTGACAGTTGGCCTACGTATCAACGATATGGATAAAGCTACGGCGGCTAAATGCGCGATTGAACAGAAACAACGGGAAGAAGCACGACTTCGAAAGGAAAATAATGTAGCGTGGCAAACGAAAGTAAGCAAGTAGTTTAGTAAACTTCTTTTCATTTCTTCGTTACATAATTATTGCAAACCATTTCTTTTTCTTTGTTGAACAGCTTTTTAAGGAAACCAGAGATGGTGGCTGGGTATACATGAGACCTCTTGTAGAAAGAATACGCAGTTCCAACGATCAAACAAATGTTACGTAATATGGCATGTTATACAATTTTAGGAACAGCACAATATTAGAATGAATATCGTGGCCTAACGCCCATAAGAGCTGTAATATTAGATTTAATTCAAAATATATAAGATAGTTTCACACATCGGAATTTCAGGGAATATTTTTACGCATAATAATTACTTTGATCAAAAAAAGAAAAAAGAATTAATGTAGTGTTATCTGCTACTTTGTTTCATGTATCACGTTTTATGTTTAATTTTATAAACGTGTTTTGTCAATAATGTTTAGTAATACGAATTTTTATGGTACAAAATGGGCATCTTTTCTCCTTTTTTTAATCCTATAAATACACGAAAATATTATGAACTTATATCTAATATACTGTTTTCAAAAGATATATTGTGTTTTATGTTTGTAACATATTTTAATGTTGTATCAATTTCTTGTAAAAAGAAAATGATATGTACAATTTATGCAAATCTGTATACATATTGTATAAATTGCATGCCATATTGTATGTAAAAGTCATTTTACATTAGCACTAATGAACGTAAATGATGATAATCTTATTGTAGAATTGATTATTTTTGCGCAAGTTTAAATTTCTAATTGGCAAATATATATTTCCAATATGCAATGAGTGATTCACAATTATAGATTTGTAAAATAAACCCAATAATTAATATTTTAAATTCGAAAGGAACAAAAAACGACGTAACAGCTATACATTTTGTTGTTCTGTTTCTTATATTTAAAAGTCTTCGGACAAATACATTTGGATAAGTTTCGGTCGATTATTTGGCCATCTTAAATATCATAGTCAAAACTTAATTATAATAGTGAAAAGAACAAAAACCAACATTAAACACCTAGCGGTGTTGTATATCGGACATAGGTTTTTAATTGATATCTGTACTCCAAGACAACAAAATCATGAGTGCAATGGTAATATTATCAAGGAAAGAAAGGTAGGAAGGGATTCAAGAGCATCGTAAAGATGAAGGTAATAAATTAAGGACAGAATCTGATAAGAGTTTAGTGTTGCTCTGTTTAAACTTTGAGATTGTGTTCAATGCGAACTTTCAATCAAATTCATGATTCATTAATAATTAATCATTTTTCATGACATTAATCTGTGATTGCGCTTGTTCAATATAATTTGCAAATATAAGAAATAGTGACTCGCAACAAAATGTCATAGCTCTTGTGCCGTTTTTTGTTTCTTTCGAATTTATTAATATTTTACTTTTATCGTAATTACACGCGTATTTTCCGTAAGCCAGTAAAAACTTTTAATTTTTTAATCAAATAAATCATCAATATTATGAGAGATAAATAAAACTATTATAAAGTACGTCTTAATAATCTTACAATTTTTATTGATATACAAAACAAAATTGAAAATTTTTGGCTGAACAAAATATCAATTCAGTGAAACGATTTTGATTTCTATTTCATAATAAAGAATCTAAATATCTACTTCAGATTTTTTGTTCTTTCGAATTTATAATTATTAGAGCTTTACTTAATTTATGAATATTTTACTTTTATTACAGTTACACGAGTAATTTTAGATTTTTTTAGCATCTTCAAAAAGATTTGTGAAAATTATTTAGATGTTCTGCGTCTATAATGGATCATTGTATATATTAAACTTGTTACATACAGAATATATATATTATATTATATATAGTGTGTGTGTAATAGTACAATTGTTCTTTATTGTACATAACAAGATATAAAATACAAAGTGTACAAAATATATGCAACAAAAATTTACATTGTGTAACTCTAAACTGTAATATTTAATCAGTTTCTTGTAAAACAATATAACCGAAAAAACAGTCTTCAGCAGCTCTATAGGCGTGTGGCAATCGTTTTGTCGATGACAGCAAATACTTTAATCCAGCTTCTATTATAGGCAAACCCACTTCATGGTATGTAGCGTTCAACTTATTACTAGCAATTTTACTTGTCTCATATTTATACAAAATTTTGGCAACGTACATTTGTTTTAAGACAATAGTGCAAGTATCACTGTTCAGTTTGTGATTAGGTTCTGTAATTAAATTTAATTTGTAATCCATTGGCTTTATCAAAAGACAATGAATTTGTTTGTTTACTGAGGTCTGCAAAATGATTTCTTCTCCTAAAATTTCACCGAGCAAGCCTTTTAAGAGCAGGAGAAAGTCAGAAAGTGGATTAGTAGCATTTACAGTACTCAAAACATCGCTTTGTGGCTTGTAATCCACACAACAGTTCCATATCTTGAATAAATCACGCGTGTGAAATGTTCCTATGTGTAGCAAACACTTGGTACAAGTCATTGCTTTGCTATCTATATGTACATTATTATCAAAAATATTTTTGTCCAATACAGAAAAGCAGGAACCATACAAGTAATCCCATTTCTGTGGCTGTACATCATGTGAAATATCAGAATTATGTTTACAGCAAAACCACTCATTTTGATCATATTCTATATCAGGTAAAGGTAGAAATCTTTTAAAACTAACAGAGTTTGAAATAGTATTTTTACAACATGCACATAACATAGTGCATTTTGATGTTTTAAATAATAATTTGATATTGTTTAAAATTGGCGACGAAGAGCTGGAGAGCAATTGAACTGACATATCCGAATTAACAACTTCTGTACTGAAAGATCCAAATACAGATTCCACTGGTGCTGTTTGTAAACGGAAACAAATCCAATTGTTCATTATGTTCAACGTAGATAGAGAAATAGGAATAATTTTTATAGATGGCAATAAAAAATTTATGCTGCAGTCTTTGAGAATTAATACTATGCTACTTTCCAGAAGCTTGATTTGTACATTTTTTAAACAGAGATCTTTTCGCATAGCGATAAATATGTTGCAGGATTGCAACCGTGGCCTTAATTCTAATGTTATGAATTCCATTGTTTCATATTACTCAACAATATAACCGTGTCATTATGTAGCAATATGACGCATCTTTTCTGTAATTCTGAAAATACAATATAAAATTCATTGAGTCAGTTTGGCATTAGAGAGATCTCTAAAATTATATATTATACTATAATTTTAAAACACATACTTACTAATTATACACGCATACATTGCTGCACACGTGCCAGCGCGGGATTGTCAATTGTGTAAATTAAAGGTTGTGAAAAGTTGCGCAAGACCACATTGCAATAATCATTCAATGTATGTGACATCCAACATCCAAAAAGAACAAGATTTTTCAGGAATGAATAAAATGTTATTAAACATATAACATTCACTGAACTTTGTATAACTCCGGACGTACTATAGGTTTGTTCTTTATAGCTGAACTGGCTGCACTAGTTCAAAGTTTTATCTTTCTTCTTCTAACGTGGAGGAAAAAAGATAAACTCTGAACTAGTGCAGCCAGTTCAGCTATAAAGAACAGACCTTATATAGAACAATTGCACTGCTAGTGCTAAAAATCTATAGTGAATGTAACATGAATTATAGATTGTTAGCATTGACAGTGAATTTTAGAACACAGCCTAGATAGCAGCCATAGAGAGAGTAGTAAGTAGTAAGTATAGGTCGGTATTCATAGGGCGTATTCATAGTCCGTTCTTATATTTAAGATTGTCTTAAGCACGGACTTATATTCGCTCTCTTCGTCACACATAGATTGTGTCT